ATTATTATTATTATTATTATTATTATTATTATTATTATTATTATTATTATTATTATTATTATTATTATTATTATTATTATTATTATTATTATTATTATTATTATTATTATTATTATTATTATTATTATTATTATTATTATTATTATTATTATTATTATTATTATTATTATTATTATTATTATTATTATTATTATTATTATTATTATTATTATTATTATTATTATTATTATTATTATTATTATTATTATTATTATTATTATTATTATTATTATTATTATTATTATTATTATTATTATTATTATTATTATTATTATTATTATTATTATTATTATTATTATTATTATTATTATTATTATTATTATTATTATTATTATTATTATTATTATTATTATTATTATTATTATTATTATTATTATTATTATTATTATTATTATTATTATTATTATTATTATTATTATTATTATTATTATTATTATTATTATTATTATTATTATTATTATTATTATTATTATTATTATTATTATTATTATTATTATTATTATTATTATTATTATTATTATTATTATTATTATTATTATTATTATTATTATTATTATTATTATTATTATTATTATTATTATTATTATTATTATTATTATTATTATTATTATTATTATTATTATTATTATTATTATTATTATTATTATTATTATTATTATTATTACTATTGCCATTATTGTTATCACTGTTAATATTATTATTATTGGTAGTATCATAGTTATTATTATCAGTATCACTATGAAAATCATTATGGACCAACGTTATTGTTATTATTTCAACGTTATTATCATTGTTAACATTGTTGTTATTACTATCGTTGATATTGTTATTTTCATCATCATTATTAAGTTCTTATTAATCTTATCATTTTCATCATTATAAGTAAGTGTAATAATTTTAATAAAATTGATACGACGCGGGTTCATCGTACATAAGATTGCCAATCAGCTGTTCAGTTCCATCACACTGCCGTTACCGTTCTGTAGTTATATGGTTTCGCCTTGGTGTTTGCTACGGGCGCTGGTGTCAATTTCCAATCTCATTTTCTCTCTCTCTCTCTCTCTCTCTCTCTCTCTCTCTCTCTCTCTCTCTCGCGGGGGCTTTCTGTATTTCTCACTATTTTATTTCCCTTGCCTGTCTTTGGTGTAGATTGTCATGCTTACTCTGTCGCATTTATTTAGTGCTTGCGGGAAAATAAGAACATGTTCTATTTATATAACATATCCGCTCTCTCTCTCTTTCTCTCTCTCTCTCTCTCGCGGGGGCTTTCTGCATTTCTCACTATTTTATTTCCCTTGCCTGTCTTTGGTGTAGATTGTCATGCTTACTCTGTCGCATTTATTTAGTGCTTGCGGGAAAATAAGAACATGTTCTATTTATATAACATATCCGCTCTCTCTCTTTCTCTCTGTATCTTTCTCTGCCGTTCCTTCCTTGAGTGGGCTCGACAGTCTTCGCAAGGTATCGTGTGACGCGGAAACAATACGCGGAAATAAAGTTCCTTAGAAGGGCAATTACCGGGCTTCTTCGTGGCGGTGGCGGCTTCGGCGGCGTTGCGCGGCGGCCAGTCAGCTGAGCGGCGGTCGCTGTGTCGAGTTTCAAATCCGGAATCGAGAAAGAAATACAGTAAATTCGTTAGAACCAATGTTGCTCTCGTGTTCGAACCACTTTAGCGGAGATTTGTTGAGAAGAATGCAAGGGAAGAGGTTGCAACGACGACCTTAGCAACAATTGGAGTCGGCGTCGCGGTCGGGTGTCGGGCAGCGGCGCAGGGCTTCTCCGCGCGTCGGCTCGCCCGCCCGGCCGCTTGTCGTGCTTCGGGCTCATGTCTCGCCGGGATGTTGTTACGCCCGCGCTGATCATCATCATGACTCGGGGCAGGAGGAAATGTTCTTGAGGAGACTCTCACGTGTATGAACTTGTATTCGTGCAGCGAATATGCATATATATATATATATATATATATATATATATATATATATATATATATATATATATATATATATATATATATATATATATATATATATAAATATATATATATATATATATATATATATATATATATATATATATGTTTATTTTTGTATATCATTTTCTTTGCTGAATTGAGGAAGCTCCTGCAAAAGCATCGCGTTGGCCGGGGGTCCGGGAGGAAGGGCTGGGTCTCAGCAGGGTCTCTGGCGATTAATCATGGCTCAGATTATTATTCATGACCGTCACTGATTCGGCACATGAGGCGTGACTCTCTTGTGATATGACAATAGTAATTAGGGGAACTTAATCTCCATCTCTGCTAACACTAGCGAGCGAACCGCTTCCTTCCGTTATTTACTGCATATTGCCATCTATTTCCCCCTGTCTCTTGCTCGCCATCAAATACAAATTTCTGAAACGTTTCCGAGAGAGAAATGAGACGCGAGGCCGTCCAGAGCGAGGAAGGGCTAACGGCGCCACCTCCTCTGTACCTCCGTGATAGTAATTAGGGCGTCTTACTCGGCATGTTTTCCACACCGGCGCCTGCCTGAAGATTTTTTTTCTTCTCTCTCTCTATTTTTTCCATTTTCGTTCACGTCACAAAGAGAAGCGAGCGCGGAGGCAAATGAATACCAGGACACGGGCATTGTGGGCGCCGGTGAAAAGACTCTTTGTATAAATATTTCGTCCACTGGGTCTTCAAGGCGTGGGATTGTAATCACCTCCTCAGCTCTCCGTTTTTTTTATTCTGCTCTTTTCTTTCGCCGCATCACATTAGCACTTGGCTGGCCACGCCGTGTGAGTTACACCGTAATTACTCAGGAAAGAGATTGTTAGGGCGGACATGGTCATAATAAATGAAGGGTTGATATCTGAGCGGCGCCTTAGAATATTTTCCTTCTCACGGCAGCCCGGAGACTACTGCTCCCGGGCCACGTGTCTGGGTCTCTCCAGCCAGCGATACTGAGTGCCTCGTACTAGTGTCTTTACTTAAGTTCCCCCTTAGCCGTCACTGCAGGTTATTTGCTTTCCCACCTCAGTTGTTGACACAGTCTCTGTTTCCCATTAAGCAATCACAACTCACCTCCCAGAGTTGACATTGCTCTATTACCCTCTATATTAGCTTACCAACACTCCGGAGGGGAGAGTAATTTGATTTACATTGGTCTCCTCCCGGCGAATGGGGCCGACCGGCTGCAGAGGAGAGCTTCCTCTCGGCTCTCCGAGGCCGAGGGGGCGAGCGCTTTCTGTAAGCTACTTTCATAGTTTCATGGGCAAGATCGTATGTTGAAATGGTATGGAAGTAAATCATTTATAGGAGAAGGATGGAAGTCAAAGGAGAGAGATATACCAGCCTCCTCCATCCAATCCATCCGTTTCAATTTCCCTCAAACGCCCTCTTCCCCTGCCGGCCCGCACCCTCGCCTCCCCTTCCCCCCTGTCGAGACCCTTGTTCCGTGTTCTCTTTGCGGTCCTATTGAGGGGAGAGTGCGTCCCCTTGTCGCTGGTTTCCCCCATCATCACGTATTCATTGTATCCATTTCCCCGCCCGAGGCCGTTACGCCTATTTTCTGCTCATTTAGCGCTTCGCGGGAAAGTGCAACCTGGCCGTTGGTTCCCTTTCGAATGACTCCCTACGCTTTCGTATTCTAAGTGACACAAATTTAAGAATCTCCTTCGCTAGCTTCCGAATTTCTGATCGATCCGGCGTGGAAGGTGACATATGTGAGTGAAGAGAAGAAGGAGGGAGAGGCTGCCTGGCGGCTGGCGGGAGGCGGCCGGAAAATGATAACACTCCAGCACCGCAGCGCCATGCCGGTCACGTGCCGGCCACGAGCACCGGGGGAATTGGTCACGCTTGTTGTGCCAATATTCCTTGCGTGCTGAGCTGTTTATCACCGACTGTGTGCCGTTATAGACAAAGGGAAATAATCTAATGCCTTTATCCACCCCTTACGCCCCCCGCGCTTCCGGCTTCTGACCTAACCTTGTTTCCGAAAGGATGACCTCGGCGCAGGAAAGGCTGGCGGGGAGATGGGGCTCCCGTCGGCGTGGGAACGCGAAGGGAGAGAAAACTTTTAAGAGCCTTTGGTCCGCCGGGAAGCGTTGTTGTGACAGAAGTTTAAGTAGAGTACCATATGAACTGCTCTTTGTTATTAGGCCGTGAATTGTGAATTAACGTCGAACAATTCTTCCCTCACTTGGTTGTTTTACTCTCACGTACTGTCACAGAAGCATAATCAGGAATTTCCTGTTCTCATCCATGGTGAAAAAAAGGAGAAAAAAAGTTCCGGAATCTATTTTTTTGCCAAAAAAAAAAGAAGTGCATGTACAACTTTCCTCTTTTACTGTTTTCGAACTCTACTCCCACTCCCCTCCATCTCCCCTCCATCTCCCCCTTCCTCAGCCTCCGGTGCGTCTCCCGCAGAGGGAATCCCACCTGATCATCTCGGGTCTGTAGGATGACTCAGGCATTATAGAGGAGAGGGCGTGAGAGGGAAATATAAAAGCGACACAAAGGCATGAGAATAAACAGGGAGAAACTCGAAATGACCGGGGCTGTTGTGGGCGTCACTATTAACTTCATTACTTTTGTTACCTTGTTATCATCATCGAAGCCAGTGTTGGGTGGGTTATTACAACATGGGTGGCGCAAACGTCGGGCGAAAAGATTGTACTTAATGAGGGCGAGAACTGCTGTAATTGTTTCTACTGTTGTTGTTTTTTTATATGACCCAGAACAGTAAAAAAAAAGAAAAAGAAAAAAAAAAAAAGAAGTTATATCTTGTGAGACATGTCGACATTTCATCTGTTTGTAGGGAATTCGAGGTTTTTCATGGGCAGGATTTAGTAGGCTTTGGACCATCTGGTACCACCCTCCCCCCACCACCTCCCCCTCCCCGGGCTATTTTGAGAGGGAAAGGTACCTGGGCGGGTCAAAGGTTAATCTGGTAGATTAAGTGACCTTACTACTGACAGGCGGAATGGGGATTGGGGTAAGGGGGGTAAATCTTTTACTATTTTCTTCGTATTTGTGTGTATGTTTTTTATTTAGAAATAGGCATATTGGAGAGGTAATGGTGTTGATTAATACCTTAGGCAACCCTAACTAATTGTGCTCCCTCCTCCTCCCCAGGTGTGGTTCAAGAACCGCCGCGCCAAGTGCCGGCAGCAGGCGCAGCAGAACAGCCAGAACGGCTCGAGCACCACGACCACCAGCACCAGCACGAGCAGCACCAACGGCACGGCCACCACCATCACCACCACGCCCGCCGCCAACAACAACGACAGCACCAAGGCCGCCGCCCCGCGCCCCAAGAAGATCAAGAGCCCCAGCACGCCCTCGCCGCCCCCGCCCGTCATCAAGACCTCCCCGCGCCCCGCCTCGCCCGCTTACAAGCCTCCGTCAGTGTCCCCCGCCTCAGCACACACGCCGCCCAACACCACGCCCACGCCCACGCCCACACACACCTACGGTTCCTTCCAGTCGGCCCCGGCAACGACAGACCACACCAACAGCTACTCCTCGCTGTGGGCGCCCGCCGGCCTGCGGCCCATGGGCGACCTGCACGTGTCCACAGCCAACTGCATGCAGACGCCCTCATACCACATGGCGAGCAGCAAGAGCCCGGGATCCTCATGGAACCAGAACTACGGCCCCGCTTCCTACTACGGCAACATGAGCATGGAATACCTGCCCCACCACATGGGCGCCCACGCACAGTTCACGCCCGTCAGTAACCACATGGGCGGCTTCCAGCAGATGGGCGGCCACATGATGGGCTCCCACAGCATGATGAGCAGTCAGCACTACACGCGGCCCGCTGCCGTCACGCCCGTGCAGGGAGTCACGGCCCCCGGCTCGCAAGACTGCATGGACTTCGGGGAGAAGTTCCAGGTCCTCTGAAAGCTGTCCGCGTCACCGCTGCTGCCGCCCGGCGTCGACGGGGCCGCCGCTGCAGGACGCCGACGGGTCGCCCTGCCAGCCTGCCAAGGGCGTCGCGCTGGGCCGTATTCGGAGCCGCCCTCCGCCGGCCTGCGGATCTCTGCCACGCTGGCGGCGGGGGCGGAGGATACTTGGCCTCACAGGAGCGGGTGAACACGCCGAGCGCCGCCGGGGCTCAACGCAGGCCGGCGGAGCGACGCCGGTGAAAGGGTCGCCACTCTCTCCTCGCTCACTCGCGGTGAGTTCTCAGGAGCCAGATGGGTTTCTCCGGGTTGTCATCCTCGACCCACTACCTCCTTCGACAGTGTCCGTCAACATCTTTCCTCGCGTGAAGCGAAAGAAGACGCCGCCCGTCTCCGCGGAACAGGCGGTGAAGTGAAGTGAAGTGAAGGAGAGTAGAAAGAACTGGAGGGTCAGCTAGCGAGGGTATTAAGGGGGGAGGGGAGGGGGAGGATAACCTAGCGGCCACCTGCACGCCCAGGGATTAACGGAGCAAATGTGCACAGTCTGATGCCGCCCATGTCAGCCCTCTTGCCACAGCACTTCGCTCGCCACCGCTCAGCCTGCCTCCTCTCCCCGCCTGTCCACATGATGGTGTCCGATACCTTCTGAGTGTGGCAAGCCGGGCAGGCAAGAGGGCCTTGATCTCTCTATGTTGTGTGATTCGTCTTTCACGAAGCCTTTATTAACTGTAGCCGTCGGGTCTAGAGTTATCACAGGGTAATTAATTAATATTTAATTGATTCCTCCTGTACATATTGTAAAGCTGTCTAAAGCTGTCGGAATATGGCTGTCTACAGCTGAAAGAAACGTTTAAAAATATTCAGCGTGCTGGCAGTCTATGGGAATCGCATATATATATTTTTTCTCCTAAATATTTATTCATTATTAGTTGTTTTTTCGGACCAGTGAATGTGGCCTTTCATTACATTCGGGTAAACTGTAAAAGAAAATTTTCAGGAATGGCGTTGTAAACAAGCGCGGGTGCACTCCGAACTGTGTCTTCAGTGTTGATGTACGTAAATATCTCTTTGTGTACATAGTAAAAATAACCTTGGTGTACTCAGGGGTAACTCCAACCCATAGTGACGTGTCGTTCGGTTTAATCTCATTGTCATGTGTATGTTAGTGCAATATGGCAAGCGTGCATAGGGGGAGAGGGAGAAGGAAAGAATTTTGAGAGAGAGAGAGAGAGAGAGAGAGAGAGAGAGAGAGAGAGAGAGAGAGAGAGAGAGAGAGAGAGAGAGAGAGAGAGAGAGAGAGAGAGAAAGGGCTAACGAAAATTAGACAAAGGGTAAGCGAGAGCGAGAGAGAGAGAGAGAGAGAGAGAGAGAGAGAGAGAGAGAGAGAGAGAGAGAGAGAGAGAGAGAGAGAGAGAGAGAGAGAGAGAGAGAGCGATGGTCTCTTGATTGAAAGCTATTTAGCATAACTAAAGCTTTCCACTCACCATTCTGTTGCTGGTCATGGACATCTTTGCAATTAAGGGCAAGGGACCTCCCCCCCCTCTTTCTTCCTCTTCTCCTTCTTCTTCTCTTTCCGTTGCAAAATACCATTCCCGTCTCTAATAATTTTAAGATAAGTTTTATCATTATTATCAACCTGCCAAATATTAGTAATAAACCCCGGGGGATGTTTGAAACTGGCCCCAATTCTGCCAGCATTTAGGGACTCTGTCAACAGTACATTGTATATAGTCTGTACCTTCAGGAAAATGTTTTATGTAGATTATATTTGTTCTCAGTCAGCACCAAAACGCGACTGTTGGCTCTTTTATTATGTGTTTAACTAAAAAATATGTACTTAAAATGCTTCAATACAATCCTGTCTGCGGCTAACTGTGGCTGAGGAAGCCACGCCGTAATGCTGACATGTTAAAATACTATTGTTTTGTAATATACTATCCAAAGGGAATACGAGTGTTTTATTCAAAACCCGATAAGCACCAGAAAATGAGGAAATTAAAAAAACAACGTAGAGGAAATGCAACTGAGGACAGTGCATGAGAAACACTACATACAAAAACAAATTCAAATTGCATGTTTTTATCACCTGATAGCCCATTTTCTATCTAGTCCATATTCAAGGGATGACTTAGATAATCCCCGCCAGTGACTCAAGAGCGTGGCAAAAAAAAAAAAAAAAAAATTGCCACGATCTATGCACGCCACAGGTGTTTGTATCACCTCCCGGATCGCTCACACGATCTTGCGAGGCGCGCCTCCTCTCCTTCCCACTTCGTTATCAGAAAACCATTGCCAAAATCTGCCAAACTTTAATGACGGGAGACGACAATAGGGCCCAGCCGGACCTCCCGGGAATGTTGTTTACATCTGTGTCGGCGAAGGAGCGGTAATCCGAACCTCATAAACATCCGGCGCTGTCGATAGGGCACCGATCGAGCTCGCTATCATGTTTCCCCTTTGTCGAGCGGCCAGATAGCGAGGGCCGATGCAGCCAAAGAGATAGCGCCCGCCGCCCACTGCGCGGAGGGCGGGGCCGATCTCGTGCCCAGGGCGCTCTGGGGACTTGCTCCTCTGAACTATTTTTGTTTTCAAGTTGTAAAACAAGAAATAAAAAAAAGAATGAATGAATAAATAAATTAGTAAATAAATGAAAAAAGTTCAGTCGTGGCGAACGCAGTGCCTTAAAATTGTTTAGACAAGAATAGCAAAACTTTCGCTCATGGTAACTCCTCGTCAGACACAACACAGAAAACAACAAAGATACAGCAGTTTGTATACAGCTGCTGATATTCTTAGGCCTTTTTTATAACAATCGTTACATCGGCATCTGTTTCAATAAACGTTTAATAATACCCTGGGCTTTCTTCACAGTGAATATTTGAACTTGGAGAATAACATACTTTATGTTAATAGCACACACGCACTCACACAGACACACACACGCACTCACACAGACACACACACACACACACACACACACACACACACACACACACACACACACACACACACACACACACACACACACACACACACATACACACACAAAGGCAAACACACACATACACACAAACACACACACACACACAGGCCATAGCTAGTAATAGTACAAACTGAAATTATAGAAATGATGATAACAGCGATGGAGAAGTTGATAGAGAGAATAATAATAACAGTTCCAGTGCTATGTGGTACTGATAGAAATAATGATAATGGTAATTGGTTGTTACCATCATCACTATTACTCTTATAATTATCATCATCTTTATTATTATTGTTACTATGATTGTTGCTGTCATTATTAGGTTTATCATTGTTATTAATAATATCATTAATATCATTAATATAATTATTGCTCTCATTATCTTTCCCCTCCTAGTGTCATTATGAAGGTGATCATCATCATAATTAAAATCCTTACATCTAGCAACATCATCGTTAGTAAAACAAATAGACTAGAAATGAAGGAAAGAAATGAAGAAAGAAAAGAGAAGGAAAACTGATACAGACTGATATAATGAATATGATAAACAAGAACCAGGGAAAGGAAGAAAATACAAACAGAAACGAAACGAAAATGTTTGAAACGGATAGTTTGATCTATTCACCCAAAAAAATAATTTCAGATAATGCTCTATAATTTGGATAGGAATTTCTGTCTCTTCTGGAAAAGAAATAAATGAAGTAAGGTAGAAATGACTCATAATAATAATAAATAATGAATACTGCCAAAACCCATCCCAGAAAATGCAATGGATATTTCAGATTACATGAAATACACAGTAAGCTCACAGGCCGTTGGAACCAATTATATAACAATTAAGATCTAATCAAAGAAAGTAATGATAATTATTCTTTAACAAATTCAAGTGAAAAGATTACTCCATATAATACCTGATCACATTATAGGAAAATACGTTTGTTTGTGTGTGTGGAATAGACGAGAAAAAAACAAAAACAAAATTTACGAAATCGTGACATCCAGCACTTTAATGCCTGGGTCGCTGGCCTATTCAACATAAACATCAGCATTGTAATCAACATTGTTATTATTATTATTACGATTACTATTATCATCTAAATCATTGTTATTATTATTATTATTATTATTATTATTATTATTATTATTATTATTATTACTATCATTATTATTATTATTATTATTATTATTATTATTATTGTTATTGTTATTATTATTATTATCATTATTGTTATTGTCATTATTATCATTGTTATGATCATTATCATTGTTATTATTATTATTATCATTTAATATTAATGTTATTATTATCATTATTATTATTTTTGTTGTTATCATGATCATTATTATTATTATTATTATTATTATTATTATTATTATTATTATTATTATTATTATCATTATTATTATTATTATTATTATTATTATCATTATTATTATTATTATCATTATTATTATCATCATCATTTTCATTAGTGTTACTAGTAGCAGTACTATCACTATCATTACTATTATTACTATTATCATTAATAGTATTGATATTATAATTGTTATTATAATTATTATCATATTATTATTATTATTACCATTATCATCATCATCATTACTATTGTTTTTCTTGTCATTATAATTACTGTTATTATTATTATTGATATTATTACTATTATCATTATCATCCTCATATATTACTATTATCATTATTACTACCATCATTATCATTACTATTATTATCATTATTAATAATATTATGATTAATAGTGGTTGTAGAACGTTGTTATTATTATTATTGTTATTATTAATAGTGTTATTGCTATTATTGCTATTAACATTATGATTGTTATTATTATTGTCATTATTATTATCATTAGCATGATTAATATTGTTGTTGCTGTTGTTATTATTATCACTATTGTTATTATTGTTATTGTTGTCATTATTATTATTATTATTATTATTATTATTATTATTATTATTATTATTATTATTATTATTATTATCATTATTATTATTATTATTATTATCATTACTGTCATCACCATTGTCATTATCATCGTCATCTTTACTATTACTATAGTTATTATTGTTTTTATTACTATTATCATGATCCTTATTATTATTATTATTATTATTATTATTATTATTATTATTATTATTATTATTATTATTATTATTATTACTATCATTATTATTTTTATTATTATTATCATTACCATCATCATCATCATCACCATCATCATTATTGTTACTTGATATTATTATTATTATTATTATTATTATTATTATTATTATTATTACTACTACTACTACTACTACTACTATCATTATCATAATTTTCGTAATTGTCATTATTGTTGCCATTATTATTATCATTGTTGTTATTATCATCATTATTACCA